ATATATATATTATAACAAAAATATATATATAGATATATATATATATATATATATATATATATATATATATATATATCTATATATATATATATATATATATATATATATATTTTAGCTTAGAATCAAAAAAGCACAAAAACTAAAGAAGAGACAGTGAAAGACATTTAAAAAATGGGGGGAAAAAGCAACTCCATACATGGTCACCTTCCTAAAATGATTGGTTAAGTCTTTTTTTTTTTGTGATTTTGGAAACAAAAATTTATATATATATATATATATATATATATATATAACTAACTTTTTATTACCAAAAGACGATTTAGGCAAGAAAATGATGATTTCAATATGACGACAACATGGGAAAAATAAACAATTTCTAGCCGACACATAGTGAACAAGTGGATGAGAGCAGCAGAGTATTTCTCATGGGACTGGGATGAACATGACTGAACCAACACATACCAGCTCAAACTACTTTCCTGTTTTCTCAAGACTAACGTCTCAGCTGCATACCGGCCAGACAAAGGAGGTCTGCTCTCACCAAAACAGTCGCCACATTGTTTGGGAAAATTTTCGCCGTCATGGCAAAAGTGGAGGTCATGGCGGCAGCGAAGCCCACGGCGTCGACGGACCTCACTATAAAGCACAGGCTAATGAAGGGGGCCCCCGCGGGGGCCCGATCGAGTAATCTGCCGTGAAATAAAAAGAGGAGACGACTTGGTATGTGAATGAATAGAGTCAATTCAGTGATTCAATTCAGTTTCAAGCACAACGTAATACATTTTCCAGTCTTAATTTATTTCATTAGTACATCTATGGCCAACAAACATGAATAAAGTTGCTCACCCAAACATGATGGTGCACACTGACGATACAAAAAGTCCTGCGATTAGCATAAATTTTGCTCCAATCTGGACAATCTGCAAAAAAAAAAAGAGTGACACCTGCTGAGTCGTGAGCTGAAAAAATTACATATGTGCTGATGACATACTGTCATGTACTTACATATCTTCCCATCACCATAGAACCTATTAAATTGCAGACAGCATAGCACCCAAATATTAGACCAACCACAGTCTGACTGGCTCCCTTCTTTACAGCCTGCAGGGGAAATTAATGCAAAGTGATCAAGAAAGTCTTAAAAAAAAAAAGACATCAAAGCATAACCACAATATAAATCTGCAAAACAAAACGAGAGTCATTGCCCACATGAATGAATATTAATGCATAGTAATTTAGGGTGTTTTATTTGATTTTTTTTTTTAAAGCAGAGTTAAATAAATACTTACCCGCTTCGTAAAATGTGGTAAAATTTACTTTTTCTGACCAAATTCCGGACGGATATTTGACCAAACCAATGTAGATGATCTCACCTCTTAGCACATTTTGCACATCTTTAACATTGTTCAGGTTGGTTTTATCCATTTCAAAACCAGTTCTGTTGTGCGTTAGATCCCTGCTGGATCTTATTGTGTCTAGATTTAAGCAATCTGATCTCGTCCGGAAGATCAATGACCACCGAAGCTCAAGCGTATCGAACTGGTGGATGCTAGTAAACCAGAGTAACTTTCCACGTTGAAGCAAACTCAACATTAACACGCCCGCTCCAAAATCGACACCTTCAGGCTCGACTGAAACGTGAAACTGTCCACACTGACAAGCTAATTGCCTTCGGGGATGGGGGAGTTTTAAGGACAAGAAAGAGATAGAGCAAGCTAGAGATGGATTTTTTTTATGATAAAAAGTGTGTTAGAAGGAGTCAAGACTATGATTTCAAAACTAAGATGACTGTCTCCACTCTGAAGCCTGCTGCAAGCAGTACTGGTCCACGACATGAAAGAGGTGCAATTTAACAAAAACGTAGAACTACTTTCCAAACTTTTCAACTCCAAACAGCTCCTTGAAGTTGGGCTTTCCCAATTTTAGATGTCGTTCTTAAAACAAATTTCAGGGAACTCAGAATTACTCATATGGCTGCTTTAGGCAACATCCCACTGAATGACATCACACCACACGACTGTTTATTAACTACTGATAACACCACAACTACGTTTTTAAAGGATCCTTGCGACTGTTGTCTTATCTATGCTGAGTTATACTCAAAGCAACAACTAAATCACTAATCAATATTGTAATTATCTATCTACAAAGTGGGAATAACACAATTTTCTCCATTTTGACCTACATTTTTACTTGCAACAGCCAGTAAAACACCACGGTGTGAAACCGACGACGTTCAAACCACCAAATGTCAATCACAATGAGAAACGATCACATCCCCTGCTCCAACATCCCTCTGCCCGAAAAGATGTGCAAGAAGAAAGCAAAGTCTAAGCAAGTAAATACAAAATATCTGCTAATTTTATACCAAATATCTATTTTGATAAGTTTATCTTTTACAAAATAAAAATATTTGTAGTGATTGAAGCTAAGTGTACCAAACACAAATAATATTTGAATAAATTTGATTTTGCTTCCAAACTTTTACCTGTAGAGTTGATTTTTTTTTTGTCTTTTTTCTATATCTCATGTATTTCAGACCATAAACAAATACCGTTTCCCAAAATCCATAAGTTAATAAATGTAAAGAAATACTATTACATTATTTAGGTTCACTTCAGGAGAAATTCAACATTTAACGAAAAAAAAAAAAACAAGATTTGAGATTTATTTCCCATTATTCTGACCTCCTTTAACTTACCTCATTAGGGAAAAAGGGGCCCAATATAGAGTAGCAGATCATTGAACTGAAATTAACAGATGCCAACGAAATTAAAGTGAGAATCTGTATTCTTGTCATTCTGGTAGGTTGTTCTGTTGTTTCAGCTGGAAAGGAGTTTTCTGCTGGGGGGGAAAAAGGGAACAGAAACAGAAAACAGAAAGGTTTGAACTTTTTCAATCTGAACAACTTTATGCTCTTTTGCATCAGGAGCAAAGTCATCGTTGGCTCTCTGTAGCTAATTTACAGCCAGAGGAATTTGATGGATATTTACTACGGAGTTACGGAAGTTCCCACTCACCTGCCTGTTGGGAAGCAACATGCGCGTCCATTTTTTATTTTTTATAATTAAAACTATTTTCAGACTTAAGGTAGTTCCAGGTAGTGATTCACAAACAAACAGGCGAACAGGTATCCTGAAAACCCAATTAGACGCCGCCGCTACTCTCCCGACTCCAAGCTGAGTGAAAAACAAGCTCCCGCACAGAACCGACGGCGAACGGGGCCGACATGAGAAACTTCCTAAGTGACTTTAGGGTCAACCTTTTCAAAATAAAAGTCCACTTCCGGTTAGCGCTAGAACAATAATGCATGTCATGGATACGGATTGAGAACTTGGAAAAACAGCAAAACAATACAAAACATGAGGGAAATAATAACAAAAAAGAAACGGACAAAGGAGAAGACGGGGGAGAAAATGCAGAGGAAACACAACAGGAGAAAAAATATATCAATGTAAGATATAAATAAATACCCACAGAATATGGAAAAAATAATTTAAAAAAGAAAAACAATTAAATAACAAATGAAAATAGAATGGAAATTACAGTAATGATAATGTTAATAACACAATCAGTACCCGGGAACAGGAGATTAGACCTGGAGATTTTAGAGAAATTACTTCACAAATAAAACAGCAGCAAAAACATTGCAGATAAATAGATTTTATTACATTTTGGCTAACCCATAGGTCTTTACAAACCTTTTTTTTCTTTTCATCACAGAATAAGAGAAATAAAATCTGGCTGCAAACTCTTCATTAGGCAGTATTGCTGATGACTGGCGAACACTGTCTTTAAAGTTGCACAGAGGGGGAAAAGCATTGTAAAATGAAATCATTGCACTTCTTGTTGCTCTCCAAGGTTTTCCCCTTAAAGTAATTTGAAACAAACATTCAATAATAATTTATCTTTTTTATACATTAGCACCAAATTTACATGAATCTCACTCCTACAGCTCACTGCAACAACTTATAAATACACTTTTGCAAAATTATTTTCTTTTTTTGTCTACAGATGTAACATCACAAAATATTTGGCAAGTAAAAACAAAAGAAATGGGAAAAAAAATGTTAGCAACGTATAAGCACTTCTTATCTAAGCGTAGGTCACTTGCTAAATCCACAGTGTAGCAAGCGGCTTTATATTTTCCTTTGCAATTACAACATCAGTTCTGTGTAGGTAGGATTATTGCACAAAAGCTCTATCTATTCAAAGCAGCACTGATTTCCAAATAGTGAAACTACAGCACTTCACATTCAAATGCAGGATTCAAGTAGCATCATAAACACCCAGCAAAAAAAAAAAAAAAAAAAAAAAGAAAGATTTCACTTTAGCTTACATATGGCACTCAAAGACTTAATCAACCAGCAACAGGAGGATTTCTGTAAACAAAAACAGTGTTTGGGCTACAGAATTACACGAAATACGATTGAATGTACAAATGTAAAATGCAAGCCTCAATGAAATATTACTGCCTCACTGAATCAAATTGTAATATTTTTGCCAAAAGATGTATTTTAACGCCCATTGCATCACTTCATAGAAGTAACATAAATACGATGCCAAACTTTGCTCAGGTCTTTCAGATGCAATGACTCACTCATTGAAAGCATGTAGCAGAACAAATTAAACAAATCTCACCTTAATCCTGGCCTGGAATGAGATTTGAATCAGCAAAGTTAGTGAAATCCTAAAAACAACTAATAATAAAACCAGCCTTCTTTACTGGATTCCTTTTAAACAAATTTTAAAAAGTGCAACATTTGTGTTAGATATCTTATGGTATGGCTTAGAGGCAATGTATTCTGAATTTCAAACTCCATTCTACCCTCAGAAATTGCATTTATTTAATGCAGAATGAATATCAATTATGTAAAGACTTTTATATTTATTTATATTTATTCTAAGTTATATTTCTGAACTACAGCATTAAGTCAAAGTTCTGGATAAACTGCTTCCATCAGTACTTGACAAGCTGACTTTGCTTTCGATACCAACTGTAAATCACAGGTATGTGAACAGTCAAATCAAAAAAAAAAAAAAAAAAATCTGGGAAAAAATGTAATAAATGTGTCTCAGTCCCGACCAGCACAGAACAGCAACACCGGCAAAACGACTCTTCATTTCAGTCTTTGAGTCACATTGGCCAAGGCGACAGCAAACGCCTGCACGGCAGAGAAAGGGTACTGGAAATCCAGGATGTAAGCGTTCCCGTCTATTCGCCCAAACTGCATCACCTGAAACAACAGAGAACATCAGAAACACATCAGGGATTTCTTATTGTTTCAGAAAGTTATTTGGTCACCATTAAAACTCTTGCGTCGTTGCTTTTCATATTACCTGCCTGCCATCCAGCTCTATCTGAAAATTCTTTGCTGACTCCTGAGTGACCCGACCACCAAAGTCAAGCTGATAGACCTGCGTAGCCTCGTTCCAGAGTGGCTGCTTATTGGCCATGACATAGACGAACCCTTGGCTACCTAAACTGCGGTCTTCTCTTTCGTTGGCTTTGCGGCACTTGATCTCTTCCAGCTCACTTGCCATACGCAGGCTCCTCTTGTTCTTCCAGCTCTTTTTGCTACTCTGGTTCTGGTTCATGAGCTCGTCGCCACTAATGAACAGTTCTGGTTCGCTTTCAGAGCTGTCCTGGAACTCGTTCGTCGTCCTGCTCATTTTCTTAGTCTTATTCAGTTGCTCTCTCTGCCCCTTGGGCTTCTTCTTCTCTCTACTGCTGAGCCTTGGGCTGGATATGAGGGTGTTGAAGTCAGAGAGTGCCCGCCCTTCCTTTCTCGATCTGCTCTCAGAGACCGTGGGCATGTTGCCCTCTTCTGCCCTGCTGTCAAGCCTTTTGCGGCTCTTCTTGCTGTAGCGTTCCGACTCCTGGGGAACGGGGCTTTCGTTAAGGGACGACGGCTCGGGAAAATTGTTGGCAGACTCTGCTTGGTCTTCTGTGGCACTTTTGGATGGGATCAACTCAGTGGGCGGGGGAGGAGGTGGTAGTGGAGGTGGTGGAGGTGGAGCGGTGGGAGGAGGTGGGGAGAGTAGAGGCTTTTCTAAAATCTGATGAGTTTTGGTAGGCAGGGGAGGAGCTGGAGGATCTTGCATTGGTGGTGGACAGGGGTAAGGGTTCCAAGGATGTAAACTGACAGGGTGAAGCTGAAGTCCAGCGCATGAGCTAGCTCCAGGGTACAATGGAGGGAGAGGACAGCAAGCCAAGTTAGCCAAGTTTGGAGGGTACCCTGGTGGTAAGACCAAACTAGGATCCTGTTGGGCAAAGGATACCGAGGTGACTACCTCATTTGGGGAACACTGTGGTGGAGGGTTCTGTAGGGTCTGGAGTGGAGGTCCACTGTGACCCACACCTGGGGGGAAAGGTGAGAGGGATATCTGGTATCCTGATGGGAAGGTAAGAGTGCTCGTGTTCAGACTGGTTGGAGGCTTCGTTGTGAGGACAAAAGGAAGCCGAGTAACGTCCAAGTGCTGAGCCTGACTGATAATGAGAGGGGGTGGTTTAGGATTTCCTGGTGGCGGGGCTAACATCGTCTGCTCTGGAGTAAGCCAGAAGTCCTCTGCGGTGGAGGTGTCCCACTGATAAGGCGGAGGGCGTTTGACTGTCATACTGCCATCGCCCAGATTCAACTGACGAACAGATTTCTCAAGGTGACACTGCTGATTTAGTGTCTCGTCTTCAGTAAACGCAGAGTTTACATACACTGTTCTGTCCCGGCTGTTATCTACCGCTCCCAATAGACTGTAAGACGACTGAGACGCCAGCGGTGAGGCACTTTTGGAGTGCACTATGATGGTGCTGTGATGAGCCCCTTTGCCTGGCGGGAAGTCTTGCCTTACGACTGTGCCGCCTGCGATGCCACTACTCGTAGTCCCCCCTCCGGTTACACTGACACTGGTGCTACTGCTGTTACTGCTGCACTGTGTGCACGTGTACAATGCAGTGGGCACCCTCTGCTGGTAGGAAAGCGACAATGCGCTGTTCATTTTCGCCTTGGTAGGCAAAGTTCTCGAGCTGTCCATCATCTGTGGCACTTTGAGTCCCACATCTCTGCGCTCACGACGTAGAGTGGCATGAATCAGACTGCTGTCGATTTTCTGAGGAGGAGGAAGAGTAGCAGTTACCTGATTGGCCGGATCAGGGTACGGAGGAGGGTCTCCGCTTGGTATAGAATACCGAGGAACGGACAGACGACTCAACGTGGCTGAGCTGTATGGTAGTTGAATTTTTTTATTTTCAGTGGAAGTCACTTTAAGAGTTGCCGAACCTCCAATGCCATGAACAGAGTATGCATTCTGATTGCGAATGAGGCGTCTCCGTGGGCGACACACCTCCTCTACATTGCCACTGCTGTCAAAGGTGGTGATCCGTTCGTACCCCAGAGGGGTTGGGTACTGCAAGGTGACTGGGTGAAGCAAAAATTCGTCTTTCTTGAGGCAGGGATCGGGGGCCAGGACACTTGGGCTGTCACAGTTTGTAATGAACGTTTGAGGAGCAGCGGCTGCTGTAGCTGCTGCCGCAGACACCACGGTCCCTGGGTACGGAGGTGGGGGGTTTACCTTCCTCATCTGGATCTCCACAGCTCCGTCTGCATCGCTGAAGGAAGGAGGTAACATCCGTGGAAGAGTCGGCTTCAGCGTGTGTGCGTGGTCCCCCCTGTCCAGCTCAGGCACAGCAGTGGGAGGAGGGATTGAAGGAAGGAGATGGATCTGTTGCAGAGAAATGGTTGGATAGCCAGTGGGAGGCGGCGGCAGCGACATCTGCATTTTGAGCTGCTGTTGCATTTGTTGGTGCTGCCTCTGCATCTGCTGATGTTGCTGCTGGATCTGCTGATGCTGCTGCTGCAGCTGCTGCTGCTGCTGCCGCATCTCCTGGATCTGCTGCCGGATCTGCTGCTGCTGCTGCTGCATCTGCTGCTGCTGCTGCTGCATCTGCTCGTGCTGCAGCTGCATCTGGTGCTGCTGCTGTTGGATTTGCTGCTGTTGCTGAAGCTGTTGGGCCTGTTGCATTGGCGGGTGCTGTTGAGCCTGGTGTTGATGATGTTGGGCCTGTTGGTGTAGAGTCTGTGGGTGATGCATCTGCTGCAGCTGTTGATGTTGTGGCTGTTGTTGTTGCTGCTGCTGCTGCTGCTGCTGCTGCTGCTGCGTCTGGGACGGATGGTGGTGTTGCTGCTGTTGTGACTGGGACGGATGGTGCTGTTGTTGCTGTTGTTGCAGTTGGTGATGATGCATCTTCTGCTGCTGTTGCTG